GACCAGTCAGTCTCACCTCTGTGCCTGGCAACATCTTGGAGCAGATTCTCCTGGAAGGCATGCTAAGGCACAGGAAAAACAACAAAGTGCTTGGTGACAGCCAGCATGGCTTCACTAAGGGGAAATCCTGCCTGACCAATTTGGTGGCCTTCTATGATGGGGCTATGGAACTGATGGACAGGGGCAGAGCAGCTGACATCGTCTACCTGGACTTGTGCAAAGCATTCAACACTGTCCCACACAACATCCTTGTTTCTAAATTGGAGAGACATCAATTTGATAGGTGGACCACTCAGTGGATAAAGAATTGGCTGGATGGCCACACACAAAGAGTTGTGGTCAACGGCTCAGTGTCCAGTTGAACACTAGTAACAAGTGGTGTCCCTCAGGGATCGGTGTTGGGACCACTCTTGTTCAACATCTTTGTTGCTGACATGGACAGCGGGAATAAGTGAGCCCCCAGCAAGTCTGCCAATGACACCAAGCTATGTGGTTCGGTTGACATGCTGGAGGGAAGGAATGACATCCAGAGGGACCTTGACACGCTTGTGAGGTGGGCTGATGCCAACCCCATGAAGTTTTAACCATGCCAAGTGCAAGGTCCTACACTTGGGTCGGAGCAATCCCAGGCACAGCTACAGGCTGGGCAGAGAAGAGATTGAGAGCACCCCTGCAGAGGAGGACTTGGGGGTGCTGGTCGATGAGAAAATGAACTTGAGCCAGCTTCAGTGTGCGCTCGCAGCCCAAAAAGCCAATAGTATCCTGGGCTGCATCAAAAGGAGCATGACCAGCAGGTCGAAGGAGGTGATCCTGCCCCTTTACTCTGCTCTCGTGAGACCTCACTTGGAGTACTGTGTACAGTTCTGGTGTCCTCAACATAAAAAGGACATGGAACTGTTGGAACAAGTCCAGAGGAGGCCCACGAGAATGACCAGGGGACTGGAGCACCTCCCATATGAAGATCGGCTGAGAAAGTTGGGACTGTTTAGCCTAGAAAAGAAAAGGCTGTGTGGAGACCTCAAAGCAGCTTTCCAGTATCTGAAGGGGGCATATAGGGATGCTGGGGAGGGACTCTTCATTAGGGACTGTAGTGATAGGACAAGGGGTAATGGGTTAAAACTTAAACAGGGGAAGCTCAGGCTAGATATAAGGAAGAAGTTCTTTACTGTGAGGGTGATGAGGCACTGGAATGGGTTGCTCAAGGATGTTGTGAATACTTCATCCCTGGCGGTGTTCAAGGCCAGGCTGGAGAGAGCCTTCGTGGCATGGTTTAGTGTGAGGTGTCCCTGCCCATGGCAGGTGGGTTGGAACTTGACGATCTTAAGGTCCTTTCCCACCCTAACTATTCTATGATTCTATAATGTCGCTTGATTTCCCAGAACCTTTTCAGACCAATCATTTCTCTCTCTAGCTACATGTAAAAAAGCTTAACTAACACTGGTCTCCACAAGATGCTTCTATCTTGTAGTATTTTTTTGTGTATAAGCATGTTCCAAGCCACCTTGTACATTTCAGGGGAGAAACTGTGAAATTTAAGATGCTCTGGAGCTACTGAGCTGAGTTTCACAAGAGGAGACCAATACTTCAATTTCAAGATCACCTTTTCATACTTGAATATTTTGTTCACTGATCAAGACAGATTAATGCAGAGGCAAATGGAAGTATTAACGAAATCTAAGGAACAGTCTGAAGTAGAATTTGAGACATACAACATATTGAAAGAAAGCTGCAGCTGCTTTCATCACACACAAAACAACCTGCAAAAGGCCTCCCTTTCCTCAAATCAAATGGAATGCTGCTGAATTCTTATCTAAGCTTTTAAGAATATTTTTCATTATGTCAGAGTTCATTTAGGAAGTTCTGACCTACAAAGTCTCTGGATGCTTTATTATTCTTCCTCAGCAGTAACAGCACAACTTTCTAGGAGGCTATATTGTAAATCAGATCTCTATGATAATGTTTTGTCTTCCTGAACGTTTCCTGTACTTATTTTGAACCACTCCAGTAAGACTTACAGCACAGATCAGCAGTAGTACCAGCATAACCAGTAGTGAAAAGCATTTGGGAGCATGAGGATTTCTACTAAATGGACAGAAAATGAATTGCTATTTTGTCGAGTTCATTTTCTGTTAACACAGTGAGCAGCTCCGAAGTTGTGAGAAGGGGTCTGGGAAAGGCTATAAGCAGGAACAACCCCTTCATAGCTAGATCAGTATAATGTGTATGTGTAATGTAATATGCATACAAATCACGTATGAGGAACTGTGCCTTCTGCCCTTAAGCCTCTTCAGGCTGCATTCACTAGAGAGAATCCTTTGTTCAGGAAAGTAAACAAAACATTTGTATCACAGTTGTTGTCTGTGGCTCAATTAAATACAGACGAAACTATAGCCCTGAGTATAAAAAAAAAAAAATCACCTTTTCTGGCTGGGCAGCCAGCATTCCTGTTTCCTACCTTGGTTTGTTGAGATTTTTCACATTTAGTCAAACTGTATGTTCACATGAAAGTATGACAGAATGAAAGTAAAGTTCATTCACACTTCATGAACCTAAGCCCAGAAATATTATGACTCAGTATGAGCTCTCACATAAGGGAAAACATCACAAAAGGTTAGCCCAGGGAATAAAGAACAGGAATTGACCACCACAGTCTCTGAAAGGTTCCATGATTTATTTTCATTATGTAGACTGAGAAACAAAGTTAGAAGCAGAAGCACATTTGCTCTTTCATGCAAACAATGCCTTATGAATTATTTGAGAGACTATAGCTCCAGGAACTACATCCTGAAAGAAGTACTGAGGGAAAAACTGTATAAGCTTGCTCCCAGGCAAGTTTTATTCAGGAGCTTTTAATACAAAAATCTTTTATTAGGACAAGAAGGGAAAATAACATTCTGGTTTTGGGACTGTTGGACTACCTTAATTGTACTCATTAGATAAGACTTGGGAACAAGCTTTCATAAAATAAGTGAACTTAAAGACTACCTTCTGTTTCTAGTATTTTGCCATGGCTTATGCTTGCCAGGGATTGTCTTTTCTTACCTCTTTCTTCACACTTACGTTTACTGGTGAGTATACAGGAACAACCATTTTAAAAGAAAAATTACAATTACAATTACAAAACTATTACAATTAAAGATCATTAAAATATACCCATCTACTTTCCACAGAATCCCTAACTGCATGCTGGATGTGCTGTTATTTATCAATAACTGTATCAGCAAAGAATTAATATAAGCTACACAATATTTAATGCTTCTACAGAATGAAAGGCACATTTTCCCACTGGGGTGATATTAATCTTCCTGAAGCCAAAACTAATATTCTCCTGACCATTAAGCATCCTGACAGATTATTTTAAGTGCATATTATTAGCATCCAACAACAAAATTATTGAATTTTTTCTTCTATCCCTATTAACACAAGAGGCTATGCTCAGGGTATTCATACAGACTGTTACTTCCCCAGAGGAAAAAAGATTGCTAGTAAGTGAGCATCCTCTGTGAGAAACTCTGAAAGAGGCAGGCCTGTATTTTTCCTTATATAAAACTGTAATGACTTAATGAAAATGAAAAAAAAAACCCAAAACCCATATACATATATAACCCACAATACCAACCCATTTACAGGTAATTTGGGTATGTAGAAACATATCTGTTCGTAAGTATGATACGTGGGTGTTTAACCAAGTTGCAGTTTAAGACTAGAAGCAATTGGTACCAGAATGCTTACAAGTGAAAATGTCTGTAGTTAAACTGCAATCCCAGTATTTCTATCTGTCTCCACAGCATGGTCATTTCACAATAAGTTTTACCAACTTAACTGATCCGTATGCACATAGTAATATAATTCTGCAGTGTGAAATCACTGGCAAATTATGTTAATGATTTTACTTCTGTTGCAACCAGTCACTGTTTCAGCTCCCAGTGAATTATATGTGTTCATGGAGTCACAACTTTACTCTGAAACTCTTATGGTAACATTTACAGGTGCATTCCTGAATAATTTATATCATTTTCTGGTGGGTTTGGGCTTTTGCAGTCTTTTTGTTTAACTGTTTTTTCTGAAGTTAATGGCTTGACCTGATGATCAGAAGGCTGGAGCACCTCTCCTTATGAAGGCTGACAGAGTTTTGGGCTTGTTCAGCCTGGAGAAAGCTCCAGGGAGACCTTATAGCAGCCTTCCAGTACCCAAAGGGGGCCTGTAAGAACACTGGAGAGGAACTTTTCATAAGGACATGTAGTGACATGACAAGGGGAAATGGTTTTAAGCTGACAGAGGAGAGATTTAGATTACATATTATGAAGAAGTTCTTTATTGTGGGGGTGGTGGAACACTGGCACAGCTTGCCCAGAGACATTGTGGATGCCCCATCCATGGAAGCGTTCATGACCAGGCTGGATGGGGTCTAATTGAAGGTGTCCCTGCCCATGGCAAGGAGTTGGAACTGGATGATGTTTAAGATCCCTTCCAAACCAAACCAGTCTATGATTCTATGACCTCTCCTTTTTTAAGGAGTGTACCCTTTCAAAATTTCTTGGGAGACCTGTCCATTTAATGAGAGAGACCAAAACATTCTGCCTTTAATAGTGGAATAGAAGATAAACCCGAGAAGGAAAAAAGTAACTTCTACATGACCTTCTGCCTACAATGACTGAAACATCTCCCTGTCTTCCTGTGTCATGCAAGGGGAGGGGGTACAGAATTTTGGGGTTTAAGATTTTGTTTTATTTCTCATTATCTGATTTGATTGGAGGTAAGTTAAACTATTTCCCCAAGGCAAGTTTGTTTTTTCCATGGTGGTAACTGGTGAGCGATGTCTCCCTCTCCTTATCTTGACCAACAAGCTTTTGCCCTATTTTCTCTCCCCTATAAAGCTGAGAAGGGGAGTGACAGAGGAGCTTTGGTGAGCACCTGCATCCAGACAGGGGCAAACCACATCATACCTGTTTTGAATGCAACAAGTTTATACAACAGCTGAGCACTTGCAATGTAATTACCTTTTGAGCGGCAAGATGGAGAGCAGTTCTTCTGCTACGATCAGCTCTGTTAACATCAGCTCCAGCCTTCAGCAGCGCCTCTGCACAGTCCAGCCTGTCAGCCAATACGCAGTACATAAGTGGAGTTCTTCCAAACTGGTCCTCTTTATCTTTCAGCTCAGAGTTGCCTTTAAAAAAACAAAATCACATAAACCAGTTAAGTCTATGAGTATCTAACTAAAAGTAATATTTTTTATTAAAAAGGTATCTTATTATAAATTAACACGTGTTGTGTACCTTACCTGTCTACCTTACACAGGTAAGGTGATCAAAATAATGAAGTATAAGATAAACTCAAAGTTACTACTTTTCAACCAGTTTTTACTGACTTCTACAGGACATTTCCAAATATATTTACAGAAAAAGTACATTCAGAAGATATTAGTTCCACAAATATTACCACCAGTAACATTCTGCAGTGGCATAATTTATGTAATTTTAAAATAGTTATACAGACTACGGCTGCAAAGAATACTTTAAAAACCAGCAACAGCACATTACCAAGGAGTCCTTCTGAAACCTGTAAATACTGTAACTAAAACAAGCTTTGAAGCCTATTCACAGCAATGTTTGCTTAAAAAGCATAAACATGTCAATATTACATCAATACCATTATTTACTTCATAGTGCCGTACAATATGGAAACTACTGATTGAAGATTTCAAGATTAGTCTTTCTTGTACTATTAGAAAAAGTAGTTTAAAAGTTATATATATATCGTGAAGCCATCAGTGTTTTACATTTCAATATTTTAGCTAACAATAAATGCTTTGTTCTAAAACAATGTGATACAGTACCACACAACTCATGCAATGCAAACAATTAGCACACTTTTGTCAGAGCATTGGTTATACAATAAATACTTTACATATATCCTACTCTATGGTACTTAACCCACAGGCTGTATAGAAAGTCCTGTAATTAAGCATCAGCAGTGGTTATCACAAAGAGACACTTTGTTCCAAAGCCCTCTTTCTCTATATAAAATCACACAGGCTCCATCCAGCTACAGATGGGAAAGGGAACAATCACCAAACACGAGCACCAAACAGATTAGAGGGGCTGCTCTAAGAGACTGTTTAATGAGCCTCTATACCCCCTCCTACATTAATATCTGAATAGGGAAAACTCAAAGAGGAAGTAACAACAAATTTAGAGGTAAAAGGCCCTCCCTGAAAGAAGGAGACAGTCAGACTTTATGTTACTGCATATATCTCTAGACACATAATCAAGATGCAGAGCTTGGACTTGTGCTAGAATAACACACACATAAAGCTGAAGTACTGTCCTGAATTCGACATAAAGCTGAATGAAGTACTATCCTGAATTCGATGATGCTGCTAAGTGCAGTCATGAAGTTCAGTGAGTAACACCAATTGCTCAATTTACTTCTGGCATGAAGTCCTACTTTCAACAGTGCCTGGTAAACAGCTAAAAATATTACTCTGATGCATTCTTCTTCTGCTAGGCAATAATTTTTTTGGTCCTGCTCTGGCAAAAGTAAAGTCTGTCTCATATCCTGTCAAAACATGACAAAGCAGAAAAGCCAAATGCTGTTACTATAGCAAAGGCTGCAAGGATTATGCAGTTTTCTTTCTCAGGTAAAAATAGGACGCAGCATTTTTATATTGTTGCTGCATAATACCACTAAAAGAACAGTGATTTCATTATCTGGTTCTAATGGCTGTTTTGTGGTGTATTTGACAAGATATACCAGTACACAGGAGTATTTGTTCCTTTGTGTTTTCAAAATACATCTTTTGGCTGTGAAATTAACAAATACACACTACACAGTGACTAGACTTCATTAACTATAATAAATGATCTGTAAAATAAGCTTATCAAATTTATCACAAAAGCAATTCCAAAACCAAGGATTTGCAGGCAAAATATTTCAGCCCAAAGCACTTCTCCAGAAATTCCCTGAAACAGGAGTCCTGAACAACTCTTCTGGTTGTATCACTTACCAACTCTCAATTTTATTTCATGCAGAAGCACCAATCAAAAGCAATGGGTAATAAAAAGTAAGAAAAAAAATCAGCCATATTTTCAGGACTACCTTTATTCTAGAAATATCTAACCAAAAAATGAAATATATTAAAGATGTATCATGGCTAACCCACATAGCTGCTCACTTTCTCTCTCCGCTGCACCAGTGTGATGGGGAGAACTGGAAAAGGGTAAACCCCACAGCACTGCACCAGCTACTAGGAAGAAAATCAACTCTATCCCACCCAAAACGAAGACAAGATCAGAGCAGGAAGTCAAAACCAAAATGCTTCAGTTCTGAAGTAATCCAAACACATGTACAAAAAAAACGTTTACCTGCTATTAGCTTTTGGAGGGTATTCTTATCTCCATTAACAGCAGCAGCATGCACTTCAGATGCTAACGAGGAACCACTGAAGAGGCAGTTTGCTGAAATATTCATACTCTTTCAAGGTGTTACCATAGGTCAGATCTGCACCACCATTTTTTTATAGGCATTCAGGCCTAAAAAAACAACAAAACAGAAAAACAGAATACTTTTTTTTTTTTTTCTGTATGTGTGATTTTTAATTGCCCTTTTCTGGTGACTTTTGACAGTTCTGTTCCAACCCCTTTGGGACAGAAAGAAAACTCCACTGGTTATTCAAGATGCGGGTAAAACATAGATTTATACAGTGGTAAAATGGCATTCTCATTTCTTTCCTAAATATGTCTACCACTTAAGTTCCCTTCCTAGTCTGTTCTGAAACAGAACTGCTACCTTTGCTGAGCTGCCTCAAGATCTTCATAATGATCTCAGCTCAGGGTCACACACTAGTTTAGAAATGAAAAAGGCCTGCACACCTGAAAGCTTGTTCATTTTCTCCAAAAGTATCAAATACTTCAACTTTCAACTCTTCTTATACTTCATATTTGGAATGGAAAACAATCTGAGGTAAGCAAACAATAATTGCATACACCAGAAAAAAAAAATGCAACCAAAACAAACAAACAAACAAAAAAACAACAACAAAAAACAGACAGTATCACTGAGGCTGTGTACTTAATTCTGGGAATGTTTCACCTAGTCTTCTGTTCAGTGTTCATTTAAATATACTCTTTTCGTCATATCCCACATTTGCATCACGGCACACTTGGAAATCAGCAAGAGGAAGCTATTTTGCTTCAATTGCTATTGTCAACCATCTTTGCTTTATCTGTTCTATAAATCTCATATATCGCTACACAGCATCTGTTGTTATTAAGATAACTGCATATGCAGATATACCAACGTTGGGGGAAAATTTTTTTAAAATACCAAAAAAAAATTCACTTCTATGTAAAAGGAAGTGAAAATTTCTACAGCAGATATTTAAGAATCAAGTATTAAAGCAAAGACCTTTACCTGCAAACAGTAATAACAAAAAAATCAAATACAATTTAATACTTTAATATAGTTGTAGACTCTTCTTCATAAGCTCCAAAGTTCCTTACAGAGCTGATAAGAAAATCAATCAGGACACTTCATGGTTAATCTAATCACTCACTCAAAGAACATCTTCACAATCATGGTATCAGTTCTTATCGTGGAATAAACACAAATATGGAATACACACATCCCTGGAATAAACACAAATACAGAACCACGTGGCTGTGCAAACCTGCTCAACACCACATCAATATACTGCATTCACTCTGCATGGAACACTCAGGTATAGCACAGACACTGGCTAAAGTATACCACAGGGTAACAGCGGACAAAGCTTTTAACACACTTGTGTCTAAATAACTGCCTTTTCATCTTGTCCTCAGACAGCCAAGTGCACCCTGTGCCACTTTTTCCAACGTTTAAACCCATCACTCAACACTCCTTCTCTGAACTCTGTCCAGTTGAGCTTTCATGAGCCATGAAAGCAGGTTCACTGTGTTTTAAGAAATATAACACCTTACCTTCCACCCTCTCTCCCCTACACAAACTAGTAATGGTGTGACTAGAAAGGCATGAGATGCTAGTTGCTTTAAGTAAAAATACTAGAACTCCTCACTACTGGAACGTTTCCTTGCTTGTGTTCACGGATCTCCCTTTGCTGTCTCCGAGTTACTTCAGAACCAGGAGTAGGTATGGTATTGCCTAACTTTATCACCCCTCAGAGAACATGTGTTATGGAAACATGCAATGGCTCACTACATTTTCACAAAGCAAGCAGTTTCCCTAAACAGAACTTTTGTTCCAGGCACCCCTATAAAATTATTTCTGAAATTATCCTAGTCACCAAACAACTTGCCAACATGTATGGCATCTGTACCTGTCTGAAGTGACCAGTTATTAGAGCACAACAGATAGTCGATTCTACACCAGCATTGGTGTACTCCACGCTGGCACTGACACATGAGGGCAAGCTCCTCACATAACTTTATGAAAGTATTTTCCCTTCTTTAATAGTTCTGGAATCATTTCTGGTCATCCGAAACCTATGGAACAATGTGATCCCACCCCACCACTCTCCTCCTCTTCATGAGCCTCAGAATAGTCTGAAAATTATGACGTTCAACATCTCTTGGAAGTCACAAATGCCTCCATCCTTAGTGAGTTTGGTGAACCTCTCTATGTTTCAGAAAAGTGATCGAACATTTTTTGACACACTTGTTTTACCACACAAGTATGTAATCCTTCCCATAATCTGAAGTGTGTCATTAATGGATTCATGGCTTTGTTGACTTCCAGAAGCAGAGAACAGAAAGGAGTTCAAAGAGCCTAATGTGACAAGAGGTTAACAACATTTCCATTCTTAGAGCCACATAAGGCAGGCTGACAGTGCCATCATACACCATGACAAATTACAGAACAGCTCAACCTGACTTGGTGCTTAAGAAAGCCAAAGAAACACAGGTGCAGACGTGACAATGGACACAGCTTACGCAAGCCCAGCAAGTCCAAATACATTTTAAGACTTAAAGCATGAATGTTTTCATCTCAGCATAACAGCCCTTCAAACATTCCAAGTGCTACCTATAATCATTGTTTTCTTTTAAGGAGAATAAAGAATATCCACATCATTCAAAACACTTGCATCATTCTCTGCTTCCCAAGTATCCTCTGCTACTCCAACAAAACTGCCTTTTTGACATTTTGGACGTATAACCGAGAAGTTTCATTCAAAGCCAAACTTTTTCTCCCAACCTAGCAGTATAGTTTATGACTTCTGTTACCTCCTCTACATTATACTGCATAAAAGCAGATGAGGCATTTCTGATTGAGGCAGATCTGGAGAAACTAGAAGGGGCAACACGAAACTGAGTGTCAGTTACAAGGAGTCACAGTTCCTCCCCCTACTTAACCATTAATTTTTTTCTGCTCATGTATTTCTACAGCCATAGAAATTTGCCTCCTATATAAAGGAAACTACAATACTCAACTGCAGTAAGAACAAGAGTAAAGAAAAATAAGGGAAAAGGTCGCAGAGATAGATCTATCATAGATCTATCGTATAAATTATGAATTTATCATGCATTTGGCATACAGGAGTACATCTCGTCTTTAACTTCTTTAACTTCACCTTTTCCTCAAAAGCTTCTTCTGGGTACAGGAAATCCATCAGGACTCTACATTATTGAGTGGAATATTTCACTTACTGCAATTTTGAGATACTGGTTTTTTATTCCCCAGAATTATCACTGATATCTTTTGCCACATTTTTTTGTACATTTTACCCTTCTGCAAACAAACTAGAATATAAAACATCCGGGGCAGCAGCATAAAATTCAGCAAATACTGAAAAACTTAGTAAAGCACCAGAAGCATCCCAACCTCAGCAACAATTCCATAAAACTGACTGCTTACTGAAGAGAATTAATAACAAAAGATGTTCCTAATTTCCAGATGAAAACAAGAGCCACATCCGCACCGTGTCAGTAACCACATAGTGAGAGAAGCAACCAATTGCTTGTACAGCAATTCTCAGGACAGTATCATAACTCAGTTGAAAGAGCAAATTCTGCAGCAGGGACATTCTGAAATATTATGAGGCACTCTAAAAGTAAAATACATAACTTCCCTCAGATACTTCTCTCAATCATATGGCCAGCAGATGAACTGGTATCTGGAAGACTTTTTTAATAAAGATTCTCATTAACAAAAAATGAGGCATTTATTCATAAGGGATAAAAAACAACAATAACTAACTAGAAGATCTGCTTATAAAAAGTGACATAAATGACATTATCTGTAATATGCATTGAATTACTGGAAGCAAGTAAATAATTCACTTTTTCTTCCTTAAGGTAACGTATAGAAGAAGATCAGCTTTGTCAAGTCACCTGAAATGAAGGGACAGCCATGAGGACACCAAGAGCTCTTTCAAAGTGTGTGAAATCTCCTACCAAACTGTGATAAGTTGACTTTGCATTATAAAGATAATCAGAATGACATCATTTTTCTATTCAGCAAAACTCGAGGTTGTTATAATTTAAACAAGACCACTCTGTCAAATCTTACTGATACAATTTCCAAGTAAAGAATGACTGCTATGAAAAAGAAATAGTATTTTTCAATTGTGAATTAATTCAGAAGACAGGATATTCTACAGATTGAAGAGCACAGGTTCTTAAGGTAGATATAAGCAGATCTGATAAAAGCTAAGGTCAAAATTCAGACTAAAAAATTTACACGATTTGTGTATACACACACACACATATATACACACTATATAAATATATACAAGCACTATATATATTGGTGTTTTCACCTCAAGAAAACTGACAGGCCAAATGATTTTTGCAGTGTCACACATGAAGTCTGAGCCCGTAAGGCTTTCTCTGACACCAAATTGAGTTTGACTTGCAAAAAGGTGATGTGAAGGATTTTCTTTTAAATGGCGTTACGCCCCATTTCACCCCCTTCGCTTGTGTACATAGTGGAAACGTGAAGAACACACAGCCCGGCTTTCCATGATCTTTTTGAGACAGCTCTGAAATCTCTCAAAGGTCCGAAGTTTTATTGGAAGAGGAAACACTGAATTTTAGGTGCTCTTTCTTTTTAGTACTTAGAACTGAGGAAGTGACAAAGCGCACAAATCTGCTGAAGCGTCGAATATAAACTGAATGACGTTCCGGTTTAACCCAATTTTGAAGCTGGAACCTCCCTATCCCCCAGCCGTTCTGCTCTCTTACTCAGGCTACGCTCTCCGCCTTACACACAGACAGTAGCTTTCGTAAATCCTCGTCCTCCCTACAGCCAGTGCCGTTCCCCCCAGCCCCGTCGGATGACGGGCCAAGGCGAGACCCAAAAACGCCAAACGAAACGCGAGCAACTTTCCAAACCCGCCCGGGCCCTGCCGCCTCAGCAACAGGGCTGTCGCACGCTTCCCGCCACCGCTGTGAGGGCTGGCAGGGACACCTCCTTCTTTCTCCCGCGCGGGCTATGAGGAACGGTAAAAAGCACCCAGAACCTGATCGAGAGCGGAAGAGGCTCCGGTGCCACAGGACACCAGGGCCATCAAGGAGGAAAGG